GTGCATAGTTATTTGTTTTACTTTATCGACCCTTGCGGTTAAAGTGATCACTTTATCTATCCTTACGGTTAAAGAACGGCTTAGCCTACTCATAGAAACCTATTAAAATGTCAATTTAACAATAAATAACTATTTGACAACTGCTGGGCATAGCGAATATGGTTCGTTTTCTTATGAATTAATCATAATATTCCAATCGGCGGTCATCTTGAATAAGTTTGATAGTGGTATTCCGCGGGAACGCGTTACCATGACTGCGCAGTGCGCATGCTTTGTGGTCGGTAACTACGCTACCTGCATACAATAAAAATTTTGAACCGCTTTTGAAGCCATCGTAGCTTCACTTCATTATAGGTCATCATAGTCGTAGAAAAAGTAGTGTGTATAAAATTCGCATTTAATGGCTATTAAGACACTCGTATTTATTCTCATACTCGTGTCTTAATAGCCTTCATTAAATGCTCATTGATAATAATATACTATTATAGTGGCATGCATCTCCCGAAGCGTCTACAGAACTAAGAGAGTCACTTTTTTTTAATGGACAGCACTATTTTCTGGCGAGGTATTATTAAAGAATGAATTTTTTAAAATTATAACAAAAAAAACAAGATCAAGCTAGTAACATTACGAAATTAATTAACTATTTTCCTTAATTTGAGATTATTTGATTATGTAGTAGGTACAATAAGTTTTTAGCGCATTTCCACAAAAATAAAAAAGTGGGTTATTGTGACCACTGTCCGCCCGTCCGTCCGTTCGTCCGCTCCTTCGTTGAGATGCTACTAGTTCTTTATCTTAAGAGCTATTGTTCTACTTTTTCCGCTGTTTGGTTTGTTATGGTGTCGAGGCTTGCACCAAGGAAGGAATTTTTTCTGCGTTTGTTTCTAAAAAAGTTATTGTAAAAAAAACAAAAAACCGTTTTTTACATGTTCCATAATTTTACACTTTTGCCGTTTATTAACGATCCTAGAGATCGTTTATAATGTTGTATTGGTGTCTGTCGTCTGTCTGTTGGCCTGTCCGTCTGTTCATTTGTCTGTCTATCGCTCTGTCTGTCCGTGTGAACGATAACTTTGTTTAGAAATGTTCGATCGCTTTGATATCTCCGTTAGTTATGAACTGAATTGCATGAAATTCAATATGGGCATAGCTTTAGGCATATAATACGCAATGCCAAAAGTTGAGTCGAATCGATTCAAAATTCACAATGCCCTTTTCACATCTCCACCATTTATAAACCAAATTGCAAACTATTTTATTTAGTAAGTATTTAAACGAAATTTGATGCATAGGCAATTGAAATAAAGGAAAATCAAACGCCAGTTCCAAATTTGGTTTTGTGCATGTGCCGTGCCATTTTTTTAATTTATGGAAGCTTTTAAATAAAATTTGATACATAGGCGCTTGGAATAAAGGAAAGTCTAGTTTCAAAATTTAGATTTGCGCATGCGCAGTTCCAACTTTCTTATTTAGAAAAGCAGTGAAATGAAATTCTTCTTATGAACAGAAATTAAAGTAGCAATTGTGGAACATGTAAATAACGGTTTTTTGGTTTTTTTTACAATAACTTTTATAGCAATAAACGTAGAAAAAATTCCTTCCTTGGTGCAAGCCTCGACACCATAGCGAACCAAATAGCGAAAAAAGTAGCTCTTAAGATAAAGAACTAGTAGCCTCTCAACGAACGAGCGGACGGACGGACGGACGGACAAAGTGGTTACTGGCCACAATAGCGCATTTTTTGTGGAAATGAGCTAAAAAGTATACTCTTTAAGAATATGTAATGAAAACTTACTATTTAAAAAAATATCCCCCTTTGACCATGCCACTGACCACAAATTTAAAGGACGTAGATTGGTAGCAAAATTTTTGTAATTTTAGATATCATATAGAAAGTTTCTTTAAAAAAATGTTGTTTTGAAGATATATTCAGTGTTTTAGACAAAATGTTCACCCTGTATAATGTAAATTCTTCTTGAAAATCACTTGCATTCGTCCCTGACTCATTTTGAGTCCAAAGGCTTACTCGAGATTACCTACCGCAACAGCTTTCTAGCGTTTTGCTATCTATATCATTGATTTTAAAGAACCCATGTAAGCACTAGAAATTTTCATGGTTACTCTTTGCTATGGGTTTTCAGAAGTGTCAATCGTTTATTCAATGAATTAATGAGGCGCTTTCTTTCGACGATCCAAACACGTTCTTTCGAAGTGTGATCTTATAATCATGATTGCTAAAATCGTGAACAAATCTGACGTCTTCTAGCCCTACAAAGAAAAGAATCCGGTGCTTGACCTTGCCCTCCTCTTCTTTGGCACTCTCTTGGATGATTCATCTTCTAGAATTTAGATGTGCCTCCGTTTGGGTCTACCTGTCTGTGTTCCTCATCTTTGCTCCTTTGGTGAACCTATCGATAATTTGGGTCATCGTGACCTCTTTTGCCGAAGGAGTGCTGGGCGAAGATAACGATATGGATACGATTAATGATATTATCAAACGCGCTCTGACTTCAGCAGAAACTTCCACACTACGCGAACCCAATGGTTGTTATCGAGAAGACAAGAAAAGATCATATGGAATCACTTTGAATCCATGGAAGTTGGGACGGCCTTTGGTATGGAATGTGACGTGTTCTCAAACCTTTACTAAATCCTACATAGATTTAACATCACAAAGTGCACTGTGTCTACTCTACGATGACTCTACGTCTACCTATACAGGGGAAACAAAATACCGGTTCCTTGGTACTAATAATTACGCTCCCGGTTTCGGTGGCCGTTAACATAACTTGTTGAATAACGGTTCCGGTTTCAAGTGAGGGGTTTTTAAATGCAATCGGTTCCGGTTCCAATCACTGATTTAATTATAGCTGCCCGAGGGGGGTTAATTTTCTTATTTTTAATGTACGCACGAGGCGCCCTCTTCGCTATTTGATTCGTCAATGTTTAAAACGTCACCAGTTTTCTATTCACCCATCTGGATTGTAAGGCGTACAGTCGGTTCAATTATTTGTCCCTTCCCTAATTATCTATGTTACTCACTCAGACTTTAGATTCTCACTCACATTTTAACTAAGTTGATATTAAATAGTCAGTTGTCGCCCATCTGTCGGAAACTGTTCCCAGCATTATTTAATCATTACCAGTAAGTAGGTACCCACTTTTTGCGTGATAAATAAAATATTTAATTAAGAAATGACCACTACACGAAAAGGGGATAGAAACGCTTCAAGGAATTGCAATGGGAGGCTGCACTAGAGACAATACAATGCAAAGACTCGTTTGATAAACCTTTTCGCTCGGATTTTTGAGACCACTGGTCGCATTTACACATTTGGTGGCTATCACATAGTCGACTCCTGCCACGCGACGTACTAACTCTTTTACGCTGAGTTCGTACGTCGCTGGATTCATCAGGTTTAAATTCGTACTGAGGCAGAACATATAAGACTTAAGACAAGAGTCGTTCGGAAATTCAGCTAATGACAGAACTCGCTGCGACAAATCCGGTGCTATCCCACTTTCACATTCGCAATCTGTTCGAAAGGGTTCAGCGGTACTGACCCAATCCATCCGGATCTCTTCTGGAACTACCTACAAGGTATTTTTCAAACGTTTGCGCAGTAGTGAAATCAGTGCTTACCGAAATTGCAACTGTTAGTGTGGGTATCAATAAGCAACTAAGCACGTGGAGGGTGGTGTACATGGTGACGGTCTGTTAGACAATATTTACAATGCTACGTGATCTTTGTCTTTTTTTAAATGAAAATGTGACAGATAATGATTCTAAATGGTCTCTACCATCGGCCACGTAATTCGCGTAAAACCTGTCACGGTTGAAGTAGCTTCAAATATGGAGATTTAATTTCGCTTGTTGACGTCTATTTGTAACGACCGTGGTCACGACGTCACAAAAACTCAGAATTTCTAACCGCGGTCGGTAAAACAAACGTCGAAACTCGACACTCGACACTGACCTAATTGCGGCTTCGCGCGAATTTGGCACAATATGTAAACCACGCCTTGTGTAAGACTATCGGTGGCCGACTTAATTTTTTTCTGACCGCTTCACGTGAAGTGCCTCGTGGTTCACGAAGTGAGTTGCCCCGCCGTTGAATCCAATTTTTTTACGGGCCGACGCGAACCCTACCGTGACTTAACGCGCATTGCCTCACGGCTCTCTGCCAACAACCTAATTCTGGTTACTATTCTATTTAACTCATATTGGAAAGCGTTATTATGGCCACTTTCTCCGTTAGTTCGTCCGTCCGTCCTCCAAGCCCTTAACTACTTCTGCAGTTTTTAAGATATATAGTTTGTTCTTTTTGCATTCGGTAGCTTTGGCACCTCAACCAAGGGCAAACTACGCAATTGCATTTGTCTTATTTATGGAGATATTTTTTTCAAATTCTAACCAAAGATTCTTCCAGTAAAGGCAAACATATCGCATATTTTAAACATCAGGTGCGTGCATGCTCAGTTTCTTGGACGTACAACCTTCCCAGTAAGCTTAATAACGACGGATGTGACTCTTGCAACTGCAAGTAGCCCACGACGTCCCGACGTCTCAAGATTTCACACACATTGAAACAGTCAGGAATGTATTTAGACACCACTTGCCCATATAAAGTATCGAAGAAAATTTAGGAGAAATAAAATAAAATTCGTTAACCGGCTCTTGTTATACCTCACACATTCTTTAACTCTCTTATGGTGTGTTTATACAATCATTAGCATTAGTTCACTATGCTCAGGGTGGTTTCGTTGTTAGCAAGGCGCGATAAACATTTCTACTGGCTATTTCTTAATGATTTTTGATAGTGAACTAATGATAATGATCTATAAACCCACCATTACTCTTTTTCATGGCCAGTTTATACAAAAGCGTATGATAGGTACACAATACACCAATGTTTCTGTTATTAGTTTATTACGATTGTTCAGAATCACACCAATTCTATTTGAATGCCCCATAGAATTTTTGGTTTCGCCGCCAATCTATTAGGTGGTAGTGAAAGGTCTAAGCAATCTATGGGTCGTATAAAAAACGCATAATTGAAATACACACCTTGATCAGCACCCATTTTCAAAATCCTCGCACAACAACACAGATCACTTGCTATTTTATGTACGACGGATATTATGTAACTTGTTTATTTAAAAAAGGAGTCTAAGTAATAACAATTGTAACAATACCTTCGGGGCGAGCCCCCTGGAATATAACGTTTACCAGCCTCAGAATGCCCTCAGCAAAAATGAATGGCTGGCAGATTAGTGCCATTATGACTGTTGCGTATAGTTGTGCGCTGTAGTTTTACATCTTTGGCAACTCTATACATTTATCTTTCAATTTACCACCACGAAACTATTTCATGAATCAGTCACTAGATGCTAATTACAGAAAACTATACTATAACGATTTTGGTAAAGTCAACAAATTCCCACTATGCGGCGCCACAATCGGAAATTCAATAATTCAAACCGGTGCAAAATGACGAGCATCAGCAAAGTCAAAAATTCAAATCTCTCGCACAAATTCAAACTTACCGTTACAAAATGGCAGACATCCGGAAATTCAAAAATTCAAATCCTTGTTTATAAATGTAATAAAATTGGGTTCAGTACCGATTATTTTCGGTTCCGGTGCCAACCCCACGCAGACACATTTTAAGTTGCTATTAAATAGTCTTACGCTATACAGTTGTGGCATATCCGCCTGAAACGGTTCCAAGCATTATTTGATCATTACTAGTGCTTTTACCGCGACACCAAATAGAACATATCTACACTACTAGAAAAGATGATTAGTAGAAGCGCCTCAAGAAATGGAAATAGGAGGTTGTACTAAGGAAAATACGATACAAAGACTCATTTGGTAAATCTTTTCGCACGGATCTTTGAGGCCACATGTCGCATTAACGCATTTGGTGGCGATCATATCGTAGACTCCTGCCACGCGACGTACGTACTCTTTTACGCTGACTTCGTACGTCGCTGTGTTGATCAGGTTTAGTTTCGTACCGATGCAGAACATGTAAGACTTAAGACAAGAGTCGTTCGGAAATTCAGCTAATGACAGAACCCGCTGTGACAAATCCGGCGCTATCCCACTTTCACATTCGCAATCTATCCGAAAGGGTTCAGCGGTACTGACCCAATCCATCCGGATCTCTTCTGGAACTTGCTACAAGGTATTTCTCAAACACGTGGACAGGTTGAATCAGTGCTTACCGAAATCGCCACTGTTAGTGTGGGTATCAATAAACAGCTGAGCATGTGGAGGGCGGTGTACATTGTAACGGTCTGTTAGGCAATGTTCATGATAGTCAAAGCGTTCGTTGTTACGTGATGTGATATCTAAATGGTCCCTGCTATCGGTCACGTAATTCGTTTAAAACCTGAGTGACGGTTAATGTAGCTATTTGGACAAATCTCGAAAGGAATTTTGCTTTTTTGGATAAATGGTCTTATTGTGCACGTATTTTTACTTACCGGGTGACCCAATAAGACTGTTCCTCGGCCATATCTCGAGAACCGTTCGTCATATGACTTCGGGGTAAATCGGTCATGAAGAATCGCTGGAAAATATTTTCAAGTTCTAAAAATTACCAACAGAGGGCGTAACTGCCATTTTAAATTTTAAAATTGCATTTTCTTTAAATTTCGCATAATAAACTAAAATTTTTTTTCACATTTTTAAAGAGAACCGGTTTATTTATTATTTTCGTAAAAACAAAAACTCAGTTATTTCAAAAACAAAGATTGTGTGAGGCGTTCAATTGTTTTTGCAATAACTTGCTTTAACTTCTGATTTTAACAAATTTGGTACGGTTGAAAAGAGCATTCCTTGGGCAATGAGAATCAACCAAAAATATAGTTAATTTAGTTGAATCCTTCTCCGCCAGGGGGCTAGTTTTAACACTATGACACAAAATCCTAAAAAAATCAAAAAAATCAAGTGGAATATGAATTTTTTAAATGAAAAAGTAGCCAAATAACATCCAAAGAGGCCAGTGAAAACCGCTTTTCAAAATATCGTTCTTAACCCCAAATATTGGGAAAATGAGATTAATTAATCAATTAATAAAAATGCTTTAATTGTATCTTAAATTTACTTTTTACGTATTGCCGGTATTTGTCAATGGCGCGAAAGAAAAGCACGCTACACTTTTATGGTAATAATAGATTATCATTTGCGTAATTCCAGTGGTGTATGTAGAATCACTCTCCAAGGAGTAATAATTTATTTACAAATAAGTCGTTATTTAAATTGTTAGTAAATCAATCACAATAATTACGTCGATTCTCATAATCAAGAGGGTGCAGTTGCTGTAGAACAGAAACCCGGTACGGGTGTATGTAGGTATACGTAGATCTTTATGCAAAATTCGTTGGCATGTTTGCATAAGACACTCCTGTAATTCGAAAATAAAGTTAGTAATTAGGTATAATATTCATTCTAGGTGTACCACTTACCAGCTTGGGCACTTAACTGACGGATTGATTTTCTGGAACTCGTTTCCATTCTTTGTCTTCGACCACTTCATCGTTTCTTAGTAATGGATGACCTGTTTTTTCTTCTTTGCAAATGATATTCTTGTTTTCAAATCGATCATCGATTCGTTTCTTATGATTGGCAAATGCTTTATAAGAAATAATAACATCGGGATACTCTTCCTTCCATAAACTGCTCTCGACAGGTCTAGAACAAATACGCGTTTTGTTATTTTGTGAAGGGGATCCTCAAGAAGGGGATTTTTAATTTACAAATGCACATTAGTCTGATTTAACCGTTATGTAATTACTTACTTCAACAAATTCTTAAATATACAGCGTAGTTTTGGAAAGAACTGTTTGATAATACAGATTGGAAAAGTAAATTAAAAACAACAACAAATTAACGAAATAACGACGGCACTCAAAGTTATTTTATTTCATAGGTTACCTGGTAACTCTGTAGGCGGAAGCGGGAGGGACGGAATGTATACGTCATCGAGAATTCTGACATTGACGTTCAACGTTGTTTGTAGTCGCGCGGGCGCTTATTTTTCTTGAGTTATAGTTTATTTGTTTAAAATTTGTTGAATTTTGAAGTGCATAAGGACATACAGGGTGATTCCTATAGTACCTGCCACCGTTTGGGAGCGTATAGGGGGTGCCTAGGGGAGTATTTTGATATAGGACACTTGGGGCCGGAAATCTAAAATAAGGGCGCCAGAACCAAATTTATCTTCTGGAATTTCACGCCTGTATGTAGGCAACCCAACCGACCGACGTTTCGCGCGGAGCGAGGCAGAGCGAGTTAGCGCGAGGAAGCGACATGGGAGGGAAGGAGGGAAAACGACAGTCAAAAGCAATAACGTTTACAAGTGTTCAACGTGGCCACCGTTGTTCTCAATGCACTTCCTACATCTAGCCAACTATTATTATACTATTGCCATAGTGTTATTCACTTGATACGCGTCGTTGCAGACGGGATTTCGTGGGTTTAAACAAAATTCTGATCAAGTGTCAGCCACACATCGCCGCCTGAGATCGCTCCGTGTGCACCGCCGGCCGGTTGGGTTGCCTACCTACAGGCGCGAAATTCCAGAAGGTAAATTTCGCTCTGGCACCCTTATTTTAGATTTCCGACCCCAAGTGTCCTATATCAAAATACTCCCCTACGCACCACCTACACGCTCCCAAACGGTGGCAGGTACTATAGGAATCACCCTGTATATTAGCTGTAGATACCTGTTTGGTGTAATATAAAGACATTTAGTTTGTGAATTTTGTGGGTTTTCATAGCCGCGATTGAAAGGTTAGTTCATCAATTATATGCACTTTTGTATGTTATAATTAAGTATTTTTTTAGATGAGTGGCGGTAACACTAAAATTCCTCATCCTGGTGTAAATAAAATCTTGGTTTTTACGTTTCCCAAGGACCCTACCGTTCTTAAAGAATGGATAAGAAAATGTTTCACATCCGGCAGCAAACTAAAATGTGCTGCGCCCTCATTGGTCAAAACGGCCAATCGATGAAAGCGTAGCGTCCCTGGCCGCAAACGTTTAAAAGCAGAGCCACAACAACACAATTTCTGCTTCGACTGCACTTCAAGAAACAAAAAGCTCTCCACCTGCAGAAACAGATCGCCTTGCCAGCTCGACCTCGCGCCACACTCCATCAGTCAGAAGACCTGCATCTGGGCTCACCCCAACGACAGAGCTCGCCGTGTGCACCTCGGTTATCATTTTGTACATACTATAAATATACATTTTCCATAAAACGCAACAGCATTTTATTTGGCGTCATCCGCTAAAGAATGTTTAGAGTTTTAATTCCCAAAGGCTAGGTATTGGTACATAGGGGTGGTTCCTATTTTGTAGAACGCGGAATTTTATCCATTTCCACCTCTAAAATTAATTTGATTACATTTTCACAAGTCCTCGTGCAATGTAAAACAGCTTACGCACCACACTCATTTTTGCAATACTTTGATTGCTTTCAAAGGTGGAAGTCGATAAACTTCCAAGATTTCCAATATAAGATCCACCCTTATATACATATACCCATATAAATCCAAAAATATACTGCAAAAACTAATTTTTTTACCCCTTTTATTAGCATTGTAACCTATGAGCAATTTTAAATGTGAATTCTGAATGACGTTTTCCCGCCTTCAAAATGCAAGCATTCTATTGGTTTAGAGTTAACAGACAACCTTTCTAATAAAACAACCTTGGACGGCACTGGTGACTAATAAGAATTAGTAAAATAACTAAAAATATATCATCGCCAATTCTATCCCGTAAAAAACACTAGAATTGTACGCGCGAAATTCAAACTGTCATCAGTTCTAATGATTCACCCTGTACTTTAGGAGCATTTAAGACCTCACCCACGTAAAACTAAGCCAACACGGCTCATTTGTGACTCCGTCCATTAAGATAAGATCAAGGACGGCTCAAATGAATCCCCGTACGTTTAAACTAGGTCACAGAGGATCCTTTGAAACCCCATAGGCTGAAAACGAAGGCCAAAGGGGATTTTCTGAATCCCCGCACGTTTACAGAGGATCCGATTAAACCCCATAGGCTGGAAAGCAAGGTTATAAAAGATTCTGCATACCCCGCACATTTCTAGACGGACACAAGGACGGATTCTGCGCATCCCCATCCATTTTACATTAATGGTTGAATTTAGTTTTTGTACAAAGAAGTGTTTGCCCCGAAAGAAAATTAACAAAACTCTGCACGACCTCGGGCGATAAAACAAAGAACTATTGCAATATGACAGCTACCTAGATATCACAAGAATGTCAAATTATCAAATATATACGAGAGTAAGAATCATAGAGTTACTTAAATGGCATTTAAATCAGGAATGTTAATTGGCATGAAAAATCGTAACAGCTTCATGGTACTTTCGTGCCACAATATAACATCTTGGTATATTACTAGTGACCGATTTAACTGCCGGTAGCTCAACGGCGGCTACCCTGCCATGAATATCCGGTGGCTGACTTCAGATCGTTTGCGGCTTCACGTAAATTTGGCACAATGTCTAAACCACACTCTGCGTAAGTCTATCACTGACCGACTTAATTTTTTCTGGCCGCCTTGATATTAATTTCCTTGTAGTTCATGAAGCAACCTAAGATTTCTCGGCGCCACGAGCTTTCACACGCAGTCGAGAACTGGATTCAGGAACCACTCGTCCACATACAAAATCGAAAAAAATTTAGGAAAAATTAAGTTAAATAAAATTCGTTGACAGGATCCCGTTATATCTCACACATTCTTAAACCCCGTAACTGTTTTTGGTTCGATGATTTATATTTTCGATTTAGCAACCCTAAAATACTTTATGTTGCTTGAATCTCAGCATGGCAAAATTTACGCTTGCACACTGACCTTTCTTCCTTATACGTAAAATGGTCACGAGCATGATTGATGACCACATTTTAAGAGCAATAATATAAAACTGATTTTCCTTTCAAAAAGGGCAACCGAAAATTACCGGTTCCCGTTATCATAACTTATTGAATAACGGTTCCGGTTTCAAGCGAGGGGCTTATAAATACAATCGGTTCCGGTACCGGTTCTTTTCGGTTGCGGTTCTAACCCTCACAGACGCACAGTTTGTATAAAAGCGTGTGATATACAATAACCCAAGGTTTCTATTTCTTACGATTGTTCTGAATCACATCAATTCTATTATTTTAATTAAGTTACTATGAAATAGTATTTACGGTATACAGTTGTGGCCCCTTCATCCGAAACGGTTTCAAGAATTAATAGAGTGAACACTACACGAAAAGGGGGTTAGTAGAAACACCTCAGGGAATTGAAATGGGAGGCTGCACCAGAGAAAATACAATACAAAGACTCATTTGGTAAACCTTTTCGCGCGGATCTTTGAGGCCACTGGTCGCATTTACGCATTTTGAGGCGATCGTATGGTCAACTCCTGCCACGCGATCTACGTACTCATTTACTCTAAGTTCGTACGTCGCTGGGTTGATCAGGTTTAACTTCGTATCGATGCAAAACATGTAAGACTTAAGACAGGAGTCGTTGGGAAAATCGGCTAATGACAGAACTCGCTGCGACAAATCCGGCGCTATCCCACTCTCACATTCGCAATCTGTTCGAAAGGGTTCAGCGGTACTGACCCAATCCATCCGGATCTCTTCTGGAACTACCTACAAGGTATTTCTCAAATACGTGGGCAGGTTGAAAAACAGTGCTTACCGAAATCGCCACTGTTATTGTGGGTATCAATAAACAACTGAGCACGTGAAGAGTGGTGTACATGGTGACGGTCAGTTAGTCAATATTCATAATACTACGTGATCTTTTGTTGGAAAGTATTATTTTTATGAAAATGTGACAGATAAAGTATCTAAATGGTCCCTACTATCGGCCACGCAATTTGTGTAAAACCTGAGTCACGGTTTATGTAGCTGCTTGGACAAATCTTGAGATTAATTTCGCATTATTGGTTAAATGGTCTATTGTGCATGTAATTTCAGGTTGCGGTGCAACGTATCTCATGTACTTATACCTAAAGACAATTTAGACATTAATAGTTTGTATTACTGGCTATATTGATATTGACATTGACGTCTCTCATACAGAAAATGGAGTTCACGTCATCTTGCGCTGGTTTGTTAACGATACTGTTTCGGTGCAGATGATATCCGGGATAGGAACTAAAATGTGGAAATAAAACATATGATGACGATTAAGCTTTAATCCCTCATTTAATCAACTTCAATTTTGCCAGGAACGTGATATAAACTAACCTATAACAATGAAAAATATTGTAAACAACGGCAACATGAAAAATACGCTTACCTAGATTATGGTGAGCCAAACCTCATTCACGTGAATACGTTTAGATAATTAATTTCGGCAATTTTAACTTGATGCCTTTGGAATTTCAGGAGATTTCTAGATCTTTCGTAAAGCATGTACCTGTCATTGGGACAAAAGACAAAGTGACCTATCCTCAATTTCGTTGGTACCAACTCATACTCCCTATTAACACATTAAAGGCGCATTTAGTCAAACACTTCCTATGAGGTATATTCAACGCAGAAACGGAAAGTTACTGGCTGCTTCGGTGATCATAGCCCTGATGGTGCCCTTCCTTGAGCTTTTTTGGAGATCCTTGAGGTTTACATAGTCTCGTTCCCGCCAACTTCTTCTTTACTATTTTAATGATAGAAAAACTAACTTTTCAACACCCTTAAAGGAATCTGTTTAATATGAAAATATCGGTTACCTTACTCATACAGACGCGTTTACTTAGTGGGTCCAAATGGTTGAAAGGACGGCCGATACCAAACCCTGGGTCTCATAAATTATGGCTGCTTTGATTTAGATTTGAAGGTTAGGCACGATGTTTCAAAAATTGTAGGTATCCCGACGATAAACGCGTTGATGTCAATAAAAATTATTATCTGCGCACAAATCGATCACTTCTGCCGCCGACAAATTATGTCATGTGGTTTTATTTTTAGTCTATTCACCTCTTGAATATTACGACAATTAAAAAATCCGTTATTGTTCGCATTTATAGTAATAGTTTCTCTGACTCGTAAATTCGTCAGTAGAGAGAGGTAAACTCGCCTCTCCGCTTTTTTGTGACGTCACAGGTAAGTGACTTATTGTGCACGTTTTTACATAAATTATGTAATTGCACGTTGTGGTACACGGAATATCGATGTAGAAAGCAATAATTAGGTAGGTAGAAAAGAGGAAGTAAGAAGCCTAAAAATCATTATACAAAGTCAAAAGATAGATACCGAAAAAGGCCTTAAAACTTGTAAAATATACCCGAAAACTTCACCACACTTTACAGCCACATAAATCCCTTTAACACACATTAAAATCGACCCTGCGATGAATAACCGGTTGCCGACATACGGTGTAAGTCTACTGAGCCGACTTAATTTTTCTTTCTGATCACCCTCACCTTAATTTTCTCGCGGTTCACGTAGCGACCCCGCGTCTGAATCAAAACTTTTTACGGCTCGACGTGAACCTGATCGTGGCTTTACGCGCATTGTCTCACGGCTCCCTGCCAACCACCCAATTCCCACTATTATTTTTAGCTTCCTAGCTAGGGTTGCTATTGTGATGACCGTTTTTTGGACATGTCAAAATTTCATGAAATGTCGACGTTTTAGATCATTTTAAGACCCTTTTTAAGAAATTTTTTTCCGTCTGTTTATGTTGGCAATTTTCCGAGGTAACGGCTCGCCGGGTT